GTAAATCCACACAAAAGGTATTTTTACATAAGTCTCTGTAAAATAGCCACCAATATTCATCAGAGAGAACATGATTAAAGGCTTTTGAAGCATGATTGGAGTTGCCAGTTTTCATGAGATAATTAAGATGCAGGTTTGGTGTGTATATATATTCTGGTGATCTCATTATCTTCATTATTAATTAGTCTCTGTTCTTCACATTTCAGCTCCAGTTTCTTGTCATTAGGGTGACTGGCCTGTGAGCGATGCCTTAGTGAGATGCAGAGGAAGGATTCTGCCTCTGGAACAGCAGAGGTGCCAGCCTTTGTTCAGAACTGCTCCAGAGAAACTGCAGTGCTTTGTACCAGATCAGCAGGTTTCCCTGCCATAAACCCTTTCAATGATGTGCCCTGCTGGGTGTTTTCTGGCCAGGAGCCTCTGGTTTCACCAGGCACTCTGGGTGCTACTGGAAATCATAGAATTGTGGATCGTAGAATGGTTTGGGTTGGAAGGGACCTTAAAGATCATCTCATTCCAACTCCCTGCCGTGCCTCACCACCTTCACAGGGAAGGGGACAGCAAGGTTTGTGATTTAGGCACTCAGTAATGTATTCAGCAATCTTCCTCTAATCACCAAAAGAATGCTTTTCCCAAATTTTCTCTGGCATGCTTCTGCAAGCCCCTTTTTCAGGCTGTGCATAGTGTATGTTTGGGAGATCTGTGGGATCTGGCAGTGCCAAGCATCCTTTTGCCAATGTACCCATCTCTTTTCTTTCCTGTGGTAATGATTAAAGTTTTGTCTCCATTGACAGCTACTTGTCACCATCCTCAAACCCTGGACAAGACTTGATCGCAGGTACTCTGCAGGTACACTTAATACAAGTGGCATATGGAGGGTGGGATTAAGGAAAAAAACAAGATGAATTAAGGTGGAAACTGGAGTGTGAAGGAACGCCCTGCCGTTTTCAGGGTCCAGCTATTCTGGCCCTGGATGAGTGTATCGGCATTGAAAGGCTTCCCTCTGAAAAGCAGCAAGTGTGCTTTTGACGGGGTCACAAATACCGTGCTCAGGAGGATCTCAATGTGCAGAGCCTGCTCCTGCAAACCACGCACAAAGCCTGGGGCGTATTTCAGTGTCTGTGGTCATCTGAGCAGTCACTAACCTGCACAAATTCCTCAGCTGCCTGAAATCATAACTGGAGAATAGGCTCCAGTCTCAGATGGGAAAAATGTATCACGCAAGCTGTCCTTCCGTGGCGCTGACTCAGTTGAGCTGCGGCTGTAGCAAGCGGAGCTGCTGTCCCAGCAGAGATGCCGACGCCCTTCCCCTGCACCCTTGCTGCTCTTAGGCATGAAGCACTTAAAGGCCCGTGTCACTCCCGAAATTAATCCTCATTCTTCCAAGAGAAGCCAGTGATGGTCACCTGTCCTCCCTCAGCCATGACAGTGTGCTCTGCTTTTCCCTATGTAGGAAACAAATCAGAAGTAATATTAAACAGAAAATTATCACTTTACCAGGAAATGTATAAACATAAGATTTTTGTCTCAATAGAGATCAAAGGCAGCTTATTACAATCTCTACTTAATCAGGCTTAGCTTTAATGAAGTGAGAAATGGACCTGTATTATAACTAGGGTTATTACTTAATAAAGATTTTATACAGTCGCTTCTTAATGAGGTGTGATTGTCTAAACTCCTTACATTTTCTAGGACCTTTATGAGAAATGCATCTATCAATGAGAGATTTGCGCCTCCTGAATTATTACTGTGTAATAAATGTCAAAGTCTTGGGTAGCAAACTGTGTAGTGCATTCAGCAGGTGCAGCAGGTGCACCACACAGCTGTGCATATGGTCTTAACATCTCTATTATAATATTCATTTTAACTATTGCTGCTTTATCTGTTTAATGCTTATTTTATGTTTTTCTCATCACAAGCTGTTGAAAGTAGATCTGTGTCAGGTAATGGTTCTGTAATTGTCAGGTTTCACAATGTCCGTAGTAGTGCCTGATCTGTGTAACAATGCAAACGCTTCTGACTTGCATCTTTCAGGAAACAATTAGGAAATGTAATTATTTCATGTGGGATTGTTGATTATTCTGCAGTGAGCCCCTGACATACACCTGTGTCTTTCAAATTGAATACTGAAAGGAAAAGCAGATTTTAGAAGTGTCCTATTTAAAAAGCAATGAAGTTGTCTGTCCCTAAATCTACCTTGCAGAAATTGCTTTCCCGTTCATTTAGATTAATGAATAGGAGGATGTCGGGGAGGGGTTTTTGATTCCTGTTGTACCGTTCATTATCAGCTTCTCAGCTTCCCGGGAGAGCCCCCAACAGGAAGGGTCTGGAGCCCGACTGCCACCGCAGGGAGCCCCAGGTCTGCTGGGTCCCCTGGGTGCCCCTGCCCCGAGTGTGGCCCACCGAGTCCCGGGGCCCTCCTTGCACACGTGGGGACGGCGGTCTGTGCTGGCTGAAGCTGCATTTGCCTTTCATCTGTTACTGTTACACTTTGTTACACTAAACCTCAGGCATCTCCCGCCCTTCCAAAACTTCTGTGCTCAGCAGAGATGGAATTCTTTTCATTTTCTTTCAATGAACTGCGAAAAGGGTCAAGTTCAGTGAACTGCTTTAAGCAGTGCATATATATAAGAATTGGGGCTGATTAATTTCTTTCCCTGCTTTTGGTTATTTTGAACAGCCATGTTTTACACTTAGGAGTTACTGGCTGTGATTAAAATTAGGGTAGGTTCAAGGAATACATGGGACATGAGATTTTACACTGGTAGATGGGTTCATGTCTGCCTGCTTTGCTCTGTTTTCTGAGAATTTCCTTATCCCTTGCTTCAGATAACTTTTGGGCCTCTCTAGAAAACACTCTATCTTTGGACACAATAAAGTCTAAAGTATTTTAGAAGTATAAAGTACTTAACTGATCTTTCAGTGATTCACATTTACAGCATCTTTGTAACTCCGTGTATGAACAGTGTTGCAAAAGTACAGCCCAAAGAGCTTTGCCTCTTCTGAAATACCTGGAGGTAACATTAAGGACGGGCTTTGGAATATGGCCAGATCAAATGGCACGGATTCTTTCCTTTTCTGAGTCTTTCAGTGCCATTACAGTTGGGAGGAAGGTGTTTGTTTGCTGGCTGAATCCTGCAGGATGGTGTTTCCTTCCATGTGTGACACAGAAGTGACAACTGTGACAGTCAGTAAGGGCAGGGTTTGGCTACCGGATAGGAATTTTATGGAAAAGGGTATTTTTGTATCCCCTTTTCTGCTTTGTAGTTTTCTGCTGTAAAGCCACAGAAACAGATTTTCTTTATTTATTTTTTACTTTCTTTATTTTTTTCTTTATTCGCACAGACAGCACAGTAAACACAGCTTTTATGAAGTGTTGCGAAAAAGGAAGTTACACAACTTCTGAGAAGTGAAGTGAACATAAAATAACGAAGTCAGTGTGACTGTCCTCAGCCTTTGTGTTTTGCTTCTCATTATCTTGTAACTAAAGGGATTAAAATCAAGGACAGAACAGACATCACTTCCTAACAGGATCTGTTTTGCTTTGAGCGCACTGAGGTTGCTGTAGCCTGACACCACCATCCCGGGGAGTGTGTACATGAGTTCAGTTGTGGCTCTGTTGTAGGAATGAGGCAGGTGAGGCTGTCCCCTGTGAACCCTGATGTCCTCAGAGATTGTCCCTGCCTGGGGACCTGACAGCCCTCAGCGCCTGCCACTGCAAGCCCTTCAATTATGGGGCATCAGAAACCCAGAATTAGTCTGTAAAAATTCTTCTGCTCCGTCTCAGATGTGTTCCTGCACACTCACCCTGCCCACCCTGGCCTTGAACACTTCCAGGGATGGGGCATCCACAGCTTCTCTGGGCAACCTGTGCCATGTACACACATAATTATATAAAAAACATATAAATTACATATAAATATATAAATAATGAACAAGTTACTGCATACCATTTAATTTTATATACAGTGTAAAGTTATATAATATAATATTATATAATATAGAGGGAATTAATCGGGTTTTAATCGGGTTTTAAGCCACATTTCATTCCTCAGAAACCCCAGGCATCTTCTCCTCTCACCAGCAATTGCGGATAATTTTAATTACAGATAATTTTGAGCAATACCGCATTATTTTTGAGCAAAACCGAGTGACTAGGACTAAACCCACGAGCGGGGTCGGGCGCGCGTCACTCCCACGCACCGGAGCGCATCACCCACCCCGTGGGGCGGGGACCTTCCTGCCGCTGCCCTCCCAGCCCCCGGACCCCGCGCTGGGCTGGGCTGGGCTGGCACCGTTCCCCGGGTACCAAAGGCGCGGCCCCGGCCCCTCGGTGTCGCCAGGCAACGGCGGGGCGGGGATGCTCCGAGTGCCGCCCGCCCTCGCTGCGGGGCGGGGACGGGGCGTGGGCACCGCACCGACCTCCCGGCGCCGAGCCAGGTACGGGCAGCCCGGCAGCAGCAGCAGCAGCAGGAGGAGGAGAGGGAGAGGAAGAGGAAGAAGAAGATAGGCGGGAGCCGGCCGGTGTCTCCTGCGGGGTGAGGAGGAAGTTTGCGCCGGGGTTTTGGGGTTTTCCACGCCGCAGCTCCGGCGCGGGCTCCCGCTCTGCCCCTCCGCGGAACCCGCGCCGGGAGGAGAGGGGGATCCGTGATGTTAGGGGGGATCCTGGAGGCCGCTCCGCTCCCGTGCGGATTCAGAAGCGAGGGGGGGAAAGCATCTCTGGGGGTTTTGGTGCGGTATCGGCGTTTTCGTGAAATGCATGATATTGCAGGTAGAACGAAACCTTGCTGGGGTTTTTTCTTGTTTGCTAAAGGAGGGGATTTTCGCTCCAGAGTTGTGTGTGCTGGAAGGTTGGGCTCGCTATGGAAGTGAGCGGCTCCTTGGGATATTGTTATACGGGAGAATCTAAAATCGTATGTGTCTGTCAGCAGCTGTGTGGGGTGAAATGGGGGTGTTGGGGAAGAAGGGGATGTCTTCCTGCATAGATGAGCCTCTTACAGCTCTCAGCTCTGTAACCTGGACGTGCCCAAATACCTGGGATTTAAACCTTTAAAAGGGGAATAGGAGGGAAAAAAAGTACTTTTTAAGGGTGAATGCAAGCAGGAGGCTTGCTTTGTAGTTATTTTCTGTGGCACTGGCGACGTGTTTGGGTTGCCATTACTTATTGTTGAATGTTTTTAATACCCAAATGTGGTTCTGAATGCATTTGCTGGCTCCGGGATGCTGGTGACATAGGCACAAAAAATGATTTGTGGTTAGTGTGTGGTTGTCACGACAGCCTGTGCTGGAGCTGTAGATGCTGCCTGTAGCTCTCGTGTGGGACCAGCATTGCCCTGATGGGGTGGGCGAAGTGGTTCTGCCCCCATGGGCCTGTGTGAGATGTGTTTGGCAGCGTATGAAAGCAGCTCACAGCAGAGATCTTGTAGATGTGAGCAGTTCTTGGCCTGGAGTTTGTCGTGTCCCTGAAATGGAGAAGGGCAATTGTGATTTTCTGTTAGGCAGAAGTGAGGTTCGAGATCCCGGGGCAGGCAGGCGCCCTGCTTGCTTTGTGCTGTGCTGATTTTGAGGTGGAATTTTAATGTTGATGCTTTGGTAGTAGCAATATTTTCACTGCTTGTGGCAGATTTGTAAGGTTTGTGGCTTTGGGGGCAGAGAGAATGATTTATTTTCTGTTTTTCTAATGCTCTTTGGCTGATTTATCCACTTAGGGTAAGGAGGAGACACAGATGGGAGAATACTTCTGAAAGGGACTCAGAATAGAGTCCCTAAACGTGAACTCCATGGTACATGTATCCAGTATATTATATTATTACCTGTACATCAGTATAATTTGTGATTATTTTGATCCCTTTTGCTATGTTATCATAACTGCTTCTGTTGAAAATAATTTTATTCCATTCAGATGACATGTGACTGAGAGGATTGCTCCAGTGATGGGACTGGATTGCCCTTTCCCAGCATAAGTTATTTTTTTGCCTGTGACCCTTCCAGTTTTTGGGGGAGGTGGGGTATAACTTGGTGTCACCACCAAATATGTGCACTAGTGTGGAATATTATTCTTACAACCGGGCACAGAAGGAGGGTGGAATTTCTATTGGCGGTTTGGCAGCGTCTGCCCAAACTGAGAGGAGCTTGAGCTGTACCCAGCCCAAGATGTGGCAGCCTCCAAGCAGTTTTAAAAGCGTTTTTAATGGGCTTCTTTTAAGTTTGTTATTTGAAGAATTACTGCAAACAGCAGCAAGTCTCCCAGAAGCCACCTGATGTGCAGATGTTTCTCAGCTGTGGTTGTCTTGACAGGGCTCTTACCACCAGGGTAGTTGGGGAATCTTTGCCATGTGCAAAACCTGCAAAACAAAACACTTCCCATGCCAAAATAGCAGGGGGAATGGAATTGCTTTGCTCCAGTTATTGATTAACCAGAGCTGTTACATCTGTCGAGCATAGCTTGCTCTTTTTATTTTAAATACGGTGTCTTAGTGAAATATTTTAAGTGGTTACTAAACTAATCATAGGTTGTTACTGAATTAACCATTATCCAAATATTAGTATCTTCAAACGCTCACCATGTTTATGTAGCTGACCCCTTAAAATTCTGAAATGCAGCATAATAATGTCACTCTGTTTTTTCCGTAGTATTTTAGGTTGATTGCTGCACCAAACACAGTGTCTGTAAGTGCTTGCTGACAACACAGAGCAGTGTTTTGGGGGCACTGTGTTGCAGCTAATACTGAATACTGCTGGTTAGTAGTAGAGGGTCTCTGCATATGGCTCTGCTTTGAACTGTGTTTTTTTCAGTGTGCAGCCTAATCTTATAAATTATTTTGACTTGGTTCCCATCTGCTTTGTCTGTGCAGGTTCAAGGGTATCTCCTGCCTGTGTGTATTTTACTGTGTAAATCAAAAAACCCTAGCTTATTGACCGAGCCAGGGTTTATGATCAGAGGGTTCTTAGTTCGTGTTTGTCATGTGTGCAGCTTGGCAGCCCTTCTACAATTAAGTGCTTTAACTTCACTGTAGAAAATGAATGAAAGAGCAGGTATGTGAGAGCCTTTGTTTAAAAAGAAATAAAATGTCTTTTATAAATGGATGGGGCGACTAAATTTTTTTTTCCAATCAGTACTTGCAATCTTTGCTGGGTAAAGGCTGCAATTCCAGTTACTCCTGCAGCAGAAATGCCTTAACCTGTGGTTTGCCCAGCCACCAGCTGAAGAGCAGCCAAAGTCTTGCAGCTCCTTTCTTCTCCTAATGAAGAGTTCTTTAGAGCTACTTCAGTATTTCTTAAACATGAAGTAAATTACCTTTTAGACTTGCCTGCATTCAGAGTGACCAATGAGCTCTGGGAAGTATTTCTGTATAAACTACAGCAAAGCCACATCCTTAATGCTTTCCCTCTTCTTGCCAACATAAACTACTCCTCATCAGGCATGGCTGGACTTCTTACTGTGTTGGAGAAACTCGAGATGTTTCTCTACCTCTTGGGGTCTGAAATTGCTCCCATTCCCCAAGCATCTCTCCCTGCTGGAGTCTGCAGTGTAATCTAACCCGGGAGGATGGCAAGCCAGAAGTATGAGTTGTGAGGTAAAAATCTTTTTTTGTTTGTTTTTCTTTAAATTGCTTTATTTCCTGGTGTTTGCTGGAGACCAGACTTGCAGTAGTCTAGAAAATAAAAGCAAAAACTATAGTTTCCAAATTCCTTGGGCGAAGGGAGTTTGACCAGTATTCCTGTGAATAATTAGCTTAGACACAGGCAGAACTGTTCCTGCCTGGGACAGCTTCTTCCTGTTCTTCACGCTGTTTGTGCCTAATGACGCTGTGGAGGTGCCAGGAGGTGCCTCCTCCTCCTCCTCCTCCTCCTGAGCCAGGGGCTGGGGCAGCACTGAGGCAGCTCAGGGAACTCTTCACCCAAGTGCCTGCAGCACCCGCGGGCAAGTGTGGTGCAAGGTTTTGTTATTTGTTGAGTCCCCGCAGGGTGACCTTGAGGCTTGTCAAGGGAGACGTGTTGGTGTGTGAGCTCAGCTGCCGCCTGAGCAGCAAACACCAGTGGCAAAGAGCATCTTGTAACTTAGAGTTGGTTAATTAGGGGTCTGAACTGAGAAGTGAGTGCTGAACTCTGCCTTAGGCATAAGAACATTTTTTTTGAAAGCAGCCTCCAGCTTTTTCACAACATAGGTGTTCCCTTGTACCATTGCTTCAAAGTAACGTGATCTGATCATTCCTGTGACCCTTGGTTTTCAGTCTGGTCTGTCCTGGGGGGTCTTGGGGTGCCTTTGACCCTGAGCTGCTGCTCTGTGTTAGCTGTGTGAGGAATGCTGTGACATGTGGCCAGGACACTCAGGACACAGTTTGGCCACCGAGTGTTCGTGCCAGAGGAATGGGGAATGCTGCTGCCCACAGTGTGCCCTCGCTGGCCCTGCTGGCCCTGCTGGCTGAGCCTCAGTCCCAGGCAGCAAGCCCTGGTGAGAATTTGACGTTTTCTGTCCTCCCTCCCTGTTACTGCTGTTCTGACTATAAAAATAGAATGAGATTGTCTCATCTCAAGGCAAAGGCTTCTCAAGAGGGTTAATTATGTCACATTTATTATCTTCTCTGCAGATCTTTTTAGGCAAATATGAGTTTGGGGTTTTTTTAAGTTGTATAGAAGCTTTTATAAACCAAGGTCTGTAGCACTCCCACACACAGCACGAAGGTGATGCTGAGTTGCCCACAGCTCATTTCAACATACAGCTGCCTGGCAGGGGTGCCCTGTCCGGGAGGAGGGGTGGCAGGGGGTACCTGCTGTGGCACCTGCTGCTGTCCCCGCAGCTGACTCTGTAGGAAGGGCCCTGTTACCAGTCTGAGGAGGTCGGGCAGCTTGCACAGTCGCAAGCGTTTCACTCTAGAAATGTTACCAGAGACTTTTCTGGTCATTAGATCTCTGCTCTTACTGCAGTGGACACCTTGGGAGTTTCCTGAGTGATGTTTCTGACATGCTTATGGTGTGTCAGCATGGTGCCACTTTTCCTAGATAGGTGAAAGAAAAGGAAACTGTCTTGCAGTTCAGAGGTAAAAGTGCCTTAAGCAATGCTGGAACAAGGTGCCAAACGCTGTGGTGGGTTTAAATCTGAACTCTGTAGTTGATTTGCTGGCCCCATCTGTGCTGAAGGTAATGTACTCTCGTTCCCAAAACTGGAGATCAGGATGTTTTTTCATCTGCAAAGGGATTCTCCTTGCTTTGATGACCCTCCAGTGATGGCTGATGAGTGCATGATAGTCCAGTAGAGGGGAGCAGCCCAGAGAGTGATGGGACATAACTTCAAAGTAAAGGGCAGAGCTTTTTATTTTTTTACTTTCTTTAGAGGATCAAATTAGCAGTCTGCTAAAGCCCTTTAATGTTAAAACTTTCAGAGCATAAACAATGACCTGTGAAAAGGAGTGCTTGGATCTGGACCCTGCATATGATGAAGTCTGGCATCTCCATTATGGCCAATTAAAGTGACAGCAGAGTGTAAACACTCCTGACTCCTGGGTTCCCTGGCTGGCTCCCAGCTGCACACGGCCTTTCTCCTCTGCCTTGGAAAAGGCACAATGTCACTTTGAACTTCCCAGCCAGAGCACAGAGCAGCCTTTCAGAACCCCTGTGCCCTCTCCTCGTGTGGTTCAGCAGGAACAGCCCAGAAGCTGAAGCTTGGTCTTCCAGTCGAAACCTGTTGTCCTTGAATTGTTCCGTTGTAGAGAGACAGATGTTATCCTGCACAGGGAAGCGAGGCTGGCAGTGAGTGCACTGCAGCACAGGCTTGCCCTCTCTCTGGGGACTCCTCACTGCCTTTCCAGGATGCTGTACAGCACTTGATCCAAGATCTGGATCTTAGGAATAATCTCGCCCCTAGAAGTTCCTTCCAATACCCACAACGCGTGAAGCTTTGCCTTAAATGGAGCTTCAAATGTTAGATTTGAGTAACTAAACAGTTACAGGAAGCTATTGCATTGACCCAACTAACTTGTGGCTCTAAATAGTTTCTTATTTGAACAGCTTAGTAGAATAACAGTGCTCTGCATGCTGATCTTGAACTCGGAGAGATTTTATATTCCCAGTTATATGGCATGACTGGGTGTTCTTCCGTGTTGTGCAGCAGGAGATGGCAGCGGTTTCTGTGACTTCCTCACTCCCTCAGCTACCTGTGAGCAGCCTGTGCTCACAGCCCTGTGCACAGCCACAGCAGTCTGGGTGAGAGAGAGAAAGATGTGGGTGAGAGGGAGCTGGCCGTGGGTGAGAGCTCACTCGCATCATAGACACAGATGCACATGTGTGGTCTCACTTAGTGCTCCTACATTTTCCTCTTCTGTCTCTTCCTCGTCTCTCCTGTTCCAGTCAGATCAAAGGGCAGATCAGCACCTCCCCACCTCTGCCTGACAACTGTAAAGGAAAGGAAATACCCTGGGGAAAACCTGTGCTTTGAAAAAATGTTCATAGCCCACTTGGTGTAAATATGCAAACGTTTGTAGAGGAGTGGCTGTTTCAAGAACACATTACTGAGAAATGCTTCACACCCTTCTTTGCCAGTCGGTAATTAAGAGAATACTTGTCTTCCAATGCAGTGGCTGCTTAAATAAAGATGAGAGAGCCTGGATTTTCTTTTATCATGGAGTGCAGCAGTAACTAACTTTCATCTGAGACCAAGCCTGGCACACCTCCACATGGCACCTCTTCCCTTTCCATTTGGGGTGAGGTGACTTTTGCTGTGCTTTTGCTGGGAAGAAAGTGGCTGGGACTCGGACTTGTATCTGTCCCACAGCAGATTCGGCTTGTCAGAGGCATGATCCTGCTGAGGGAAGGGCCATGGCTCATCTGCATGGGGCGTTTCTTGTTTCTGGTCGTGTGTGATGGGTCCAGCTCTTACTAATCAGATTGCACAGTGGTGGGATACTTGGATCCTCTTTTCTTTCCTGTCTCCTCCGGCATACTGTGAGACTGTCTAAATGTCAGGGGTGCTGGTGATTTGGCTGTGATGGGAGTGAATTTTAACGAGGCTTGCTCTTCAGCATGAATGTATTGATGTAGGCATGTCATGTAGCCTGTCTGTCAGCCAAGTTTCTAGCTTTCAGCTGCTTTATATGCATATTTTGGAGATTGCTTCCAACCTGGGAAAGCCGTCAGGTCACTGCAGGGCAAGGCAGAGCTCTATTCCCATACCCACCTAATGCTGACGCTGCTTTCCTGCCCCACAAGGATCAGAAGGAATCCATGGGAATCGCTGTCTTCTGGCTCCTGCTTCTGTTTGGGGTGGTTGTTGCAAAGGCAGGCTGGGCTTACTCATCTGCCTTCAATGCAGCCACACAATGCTTCTTTCGAGGAAGGGAATTCATTAGTTTCTGTGAAGTGGCCTTGGATCTGCGGGCAGCAGGTGCTTCTATAGAGCAAACTGTTGCTGAATATTCAACAGTTGCTATACAAGTGTCTGGCCGGCTGCCTGTGAAGCACTTGGAGTTATCTTGAGCATCCGATTAGATAAAGTGCAAACCACTTAGGGCTTTAAAGCTACCCGCAGCTATGTTATGTTGGTGGTATTTTAACGTTCAGGGTTGGGTTTTCTTTTTATGAGAATCTTCCAAGATCATAAGCAGCAGCTTTATCTCTTTTGACTCAGCCAACAAAGAAGGGAGCTGCCTAGGAGAATGACAACCCCAGTGATTCATAGTCAAGTCGTCAGAACCTCATTCTCTTGCTGGTTTCTGCTAATGACATGTGCACTGGAAACAAATGACTCAGGCTAGAAGTGTCTATTCATCTTTAAACTTAAACTCTACTCAAGTTAGCTCTCATAAAGCTACCTGAATAACACTTGTACTTGCCAGCCTCTAATTTGGTACATGAAATACTGTAGATATCTAAACTATGAAGGAATAATTTGAGAGGCTAATGTGTGCAATCAGCCTTTTTTTTTTCCATTTTAATTTCCTTAGGTGTGGTTTGTATGCATCTTGTGCCAGAAGTCATAATTGCAAGTATAGTTCCATGAGAAACCACGATCACTGAACAATTACAGCTTCAAAATAACTTCCACTTTACTCAGTAAGGTGTGGATACCTGTGTATTGTTTACAAGCCAAGTGCCCCAATTCTGTTGTCTTGTAATAGTTTACTTAACCTGTGTTAGTTGTTTTAAAGATGCTTTGTCTGTGTTCTCCTACTGGTTATTTAGGCCACAGAAGGAAAAGTTTTAATGAAATGTGTGATGGTGCCAGTTGCACTGGAGGCTGGTTTCACCCAGGGAGCTGAAGAGACACCCGAGTGGTGTTACCCGAGTTCCATGCTTTACAGGATCTGCACGGGGGGTTCCCCATGTGCCAGGAATATTGCATTAGCAGGGTGCCAGGATTCCACATCCCTAAGCTCCGTGGTGGAGCCTGTAGTTCCTACCCACAGGGAGCAGGCATGAAGGCTGGTCCTGGCTGCTGTACATCACCTGAAATTGTGTTAGCACCCATTGGAGGTGGACATTGAACACTTAAAAGCATGAATTGACAGCTACTGGAGCTGAGCCCTCCTGCTCCTGGCACGGTTATTCGTGGTACTGCTGCCTTTGAAAGGGCTGAGGTTTCCAGTGTGTGATTTAGGTGCTCAGGAGAGCAGCTGAGATGTATTTCCTAAATATCCACTTAGTTTGCATTCAGTGGGGTCGGGCCAGGTTTGTGAAGAGGGGCCTTGGCAAGCTGGGATGTGTCATCTGTGGGGGAGCAGCAGAGGGGCAGCTCGGCTGGCCCCTGGTCTCCGTTTATCCAGTGCCCATCAGTCCTGAGCTCCCCACTGCTCCAGGATGGGTGTGAGCACCTGCTTCCAGGAGTTCCAGGTCTTGCAGTGAGGCAGTTCAGAAGTTGTAAAGCAGGTGCTGAGGCTTATGATGGATCATTGTCTCCAAAACTAATTTATTTTCCTTCTTTTCCCTTTTCTTCCCCTCTTCTTCTCCTTCCGCTGCTCCTTCTTTTTCTTCCAGGGGGCTTTAAAGTGCAGGAATAGAGGAATTACACTTTGGAAAAGAATCCCTGGCACTGAGCAGGCTGGGGACAGTGAAGTGTGTGCTCTCGGTGTAGATCAGCTGTCCCATCCAAGTAAATGTGTGAAGGTTGCCAGAAAGTGACAGGCAGGAGAAGTGAGCCTTCAGCCCATGGAGGTGACGCTGCACATTTAATCGCTAATGGACTCTTCAGAGAGCACCTCAGCTGCTATTGCTGGAAAAAGCAAATGTGTGGTGCTACCTACAGGGAGCAAGAAGGGAGTCTTCAGTGATCTTCTTGACCTTTACTTTCTTGTGTTAATTTGTTTAATACCAGAGAGATTTTCCTGCTGTAAAAACTTGCTTAAGCAGAGACTTCTCCAAGACTCTGAAAAAGCCGTGCTAATTGGGAGCTTCAGGGATCTACTGTGTATTCCTTGCCCGTCCCTTTCCCTCCTGGATCAGACTTTTACCAGCTGGTGCAATTCCATAATAGCAGTCAGGCTTTTTTGCATTAAACTTGTTCAGAAAATAATGTCTGCGCCTGTAGGGTTCAGCGTGGGGGAGGAAACTTCGCGAAAATGTTAGATAAATAAACACTTCTGGGTACTTCTGAAACATTGTAATTGCTCTTAGCAATCTTTGCTTTTTCAACACCTACTAAAAAGGACTTACTGCTCGTGTTATTTGTAGGTCTCAAGGTGCTTTGCAAAGAGCAACAGTGGCAGTGTCCCTGCTTGCTCTGGGAGGGTGCAAGGTGAACTCAGATGTGCTGAAGAACTCGGGGTTAAGGTGTGGCAGGTTCCAGGGCTGGTGTCTGACCTGCCAAACCACAGCTCGCTGGGGATGAGGGGCTGTGGCTCAGAGCTGTAAATTTGATTGCATGAGGCAGCGTGGCTTCAAAAAGTACTACATGGCACAGACAAAGGATAAATCCTTTGGGACATCTCTTGAAGCAATACCTCAGGAGACTTTCGGGCATAATGAACCTGACACAGAAAAGCAAGAAAAGACTTTTTGAAATAACTGGTTTGTTAATCTGGAAGGCCTGTTGAAAGCTCAGCTAGAAAAGCATCCAAGTGTCTGCTGTGAGTGTGTACCTGGAGTTTCAAACACAGCAGGCAGTGCTGTCCTTTTTCCTGCTGGGGTATTCATTAGTTAATGAGGTTTGAGCAGGTGGGGTTGTTTGGAATTTCTTCAGCCTCCATATGCTAGGAGATTTCACACTTATATAAATTGGTATTTCAGGAGAAAGGTGGATGGTGAGACCTGCATTTCTAATAGGAATTTCTGCAAATCTTGGAAAGCTGCAGCTTCTGACTTACTCCTTTCCTGTTGAAGTGGAAAAGACAATTTGTGCCATCAGCACAGAACATCAGTGGTTCTGCAAAAGGGAGGAGGGGAGGTTTGAGCCTCCTTGGCTCCAGCAGAAGAGCGTTCAGAAGCTGTGGGGTGGACTTGGAGCTGAGCTGTGGCAAGGGCTGCCACTGGGCCAGTGTCCCAGCAAATGTGCTCGCCAGCAGGGCAGGGAGTGCTGGTGATAGTGCCAGTGCCTTGGGATTCCTGGGTGGGATGACAATTGTGCCTGAACATGAGGTATATCCCACAATTAAATGCTGCATTCCTTGTGCCAGTGAACTGATCTTTAAAAACTTCACTTGCTAGCAGTAGCTCAGTGATCAGGCTGCCTGTGGAGCTTCCAGATGAGCTTTGGAGTGGAGCTCCGAGTCAGGACTTGCTCTGTAGCTCTGAGTTGTTTGTGTCATGCTGGATGGGAATTGTCAAAGCAGTATTGTGTTGCTGCTTATCAAAGGGATAGATTAAAATCCTAGCTCTTATTTTTTCAATTAGGAATTTTTATTTGTGCCTCAGGGACAAGCAAATAGAACCCAGATTTTGGCTATTCTTAGTATTCATAGGAGAGGGAGAGGGCAAACAGCAAGAGCAAAGAGTTGCAGTAATGAGAATGTCTTATTTTAGTTGATACTTAATCAAGACATGTGGTTCCAGGAAGCAGGAAGAAATTATTTTGCCTTTTTTTCCTTCTCTCATATATCTTTGATTATCACCAAGACTTACCCTAAACAATCTAACGCCTGCCAATTCTTTTTGCACCTTACAATTCTTTGTCCATCCTCGAAGACAGTTAGGCTTATCTGTTTTGCTTTTGTTTAATCTGTAATATTAATCAGAGGACTAACTCTTGGTGGCTAACATATTATCATCTCTCAAAAGATGCCTAATTTTGTTACTAAACTTCTATTTGTTACTTCAAGTGCATTTTATTAGTGAATTAGGGTAAAACTGACTGCATTTTATAGCTGGGTGTTGTGTCCTTCTCTCCTGTGAAGTGCTTGAGCCCTTCTGGAAGGTACAGGCTACTTTATTGGGTTGCAGGATCTGGCTTTGTAAAACAGGTCAGCTTTTTGTTTCATGGCTTTTATTCAGTATCACTCTTGCTTACCAGGGCATCCAGAGAGTCTTTTTGCTTCTCCTGTGTGTGCTGAGCTGCCTTGAGCCATGATCTGAACTGACTCCGGGTTTTCCTTGTCCCAGGGCAGTGAAATCCAGGACTGTGCCTACTTGGACAGCGAGAGCGCCTACAGCGAGTCGGAGCTGTTTCCCGATGAGGACGCGATGACTCTGGCACAGCAGGAGGTTCACCATGAGTGTGACATGGACAGTGCCATCGAGAGTGCCCAGAGCTCCGAGGCCTCGGACGTCTGTCGGAGCGAGGACAAGGACGGGGTGCTCGGTGGCCTCTTCCTGCCCGGTGACAAGTGAGTGGTGCCTTTGTTCCGTGGCAGCTCTGCTCCAAGGCGTGGGCAGGGAGGAAGGAGCCTTTATGTGGCTAATCCTTACTGAGGGAGGCTGATGGGTTTAGAAATTTAACATCCATTTACAGCATAAGGGGGATGGAAGTCCAGGTCCTCTAAGTGGCTTAGATAGTCTCAGTCCTGGCTCCTTCTGGCACGTTCTGTGAGCACTCACAGGACTGCGTGTTGTGTGTTGAAGTGAAAGCCTTGGATCTCTCCAGAACAGATTACTGCATTAGCATCCCCCAAAACGTAGGTTCTTCTTTGTTGCCATAAGCTTTATATGCTGGAATTAAAACAATATTTCCTGCAAAGCAGTTCATATGGGGAATGCTGCTGTGGTCTTTTGTACATCTGGTTACCTGATGCTATGGGCTCTGCTGATTCGCTTTGCAACTTCATGTACCAAGTTAATTCTTTGTGTTTCTAATTTTCCATAACCTTTATTGTGCAACAGTAAATTGTGTGTAACATGGGGAGTCCTGGCATGTGCGTGTGTAACCATAGTTTGCTGTTAACACCAGTGTCTCTGTAACCCTAACTTAACTCTTCCCAGGTGTGTACCTGGGAGTATTGGTTAAAGATGACTGTGGGGGAAAAAGGACCTGATTTGGTTTAATCCTGCTTTGAACTGAATTAATGCAGTTACCACAGGACAGAGCTCAGCTGGGCTTGCTTTGCAAGCCACTGCCTTGTCTTCCCTATTTTTGGCCTGTCATCTTGATTTGTGCCTCTTGAGCTTTGTCGTTGCTAAGGCAGCCTTTCTTCTCTCTCCTGGGCCTCTTTGGATGCTCCCTGTGCTGCCTCATTCCTGCCCTCCTCCTGAATTTCTCAGCTAGCTGAGTTCTTGCCTTTTCCCATTTGCCCAAGCAACCTCAGAGACTTTATAAAGATAATTACAGTTTCCATCAGCTCTTCATCAAACTTGTCTCCTTTGCTTGCCATTCCCAGTTCTCCAAAGCCCCATCCTTGTGGTGACTGACTTTTTCCCATGCTGTGTTTGAAATGTTTTTCTTCCCTGTGCTAGTTGTGCTCTTGTAAGGGGGTGGGCAAGGCATTGTGCCTCCTGTACCCTCCTTCTAGGGCAGGCAGGAACTACCAAGAGCTACTGTGCTACTCCTGATAGACCTCGATTTATCCTCTGAGACTTCAACTTCGGTAAATCTTTGGGGAAAAGGCATGAGAAGCTTCATGCTTTTGTATTACAAGAGGCAATAGAGCTATTTACTTTGGGCAATAGAGAGATTAACTTTGCTGCTTGCTGAAGAAGCAGATGGGTTGTGTATCAGGTGTGTCAGCCCTCTGGAATCCTGCTCTGAAGAAGATTACCTTCAAAAACAAACAAAAACCCCAGACAAACAAAAAAGCACCAAACACTTGAAAGTTCCCTTCAGAAAGTGTTAGAATGAGGAAAATCAGTTGCTTTTAACAACTCCTTTGCAAATGACCCTGTGATTCCTAGGCCTCTAATCTTGGTGGAAGTGTTACAAGGAGCTTCTTCCCAAACTGACTTGGTGTAGCTGCAGGTGAGATACAAACAGCAGGATTTATTGTACAATTTCCCAAAAACTTCCCAATACAGAGTATGTCCATGACACAGCAGCACTTTATGAATAAATGTTACTGTGATATGTTGAGCTTCTCACTAATCCCTCAGCAAAGGAGCCTTGTTAGATCTAAGTTGGATCTGATTCTTAAATGAGTATTCCTATCTTCATCCTTCAATAGTGTGCCTGGCTTGACTTGCCCTAATTTCTGTTAATGTGAATTAGATAAATGAGTTGCAGGTTATAAATGGATCTCATCAAAACAGGGGAAACAAAAGAGCATACATCTGAAATGTTGGCAGGCTTCCTCTGCAACTAATTGCTTTTGGAGGGAAGGGATATGCAAATGATGCTTGTACCATCCACCAAAGGAACACTGGTGTATCTTTTGTTTACAGCTCACAAGTGGAGTATTACAGGAAGAGGACTTTCCCTGTAGAGAGGTTGAGAAGCTTAAGGTAGACTCAGAAGAAATTTAAGAGGAAATATTGTTGATTTGCTGGAGAACAATGTCATCTGGGAGCTACTGTCCTGTGGCTCAGCTGATGGAGCTGGAGATACAAACACTGTGCACTGAAGCAGAGGGAGAGAAAAACTTAACCCAATCTGCATAAAGTGCCAGCAGATTTCATTAGTGCCTGGTCTGTACTGCAGAGGCCTTGGATTCTGCTGTAGAGGGAACAGTTGGGCAATGCCAGGGCCTCACAATTGAAGCATCTATTTCAGGTCTCCCAGGTGTATTTTCCATAGGGAGAAGTTTGTTTGTAAGAACTTCTTTGTGAAATTATTGGCTTGTCTGTTTGAATGCCTCACCAAGGTGGGAGCTGAGCAAACCTGTGTAAAACACGTGCACTCTGCAGGTGCACTGCACAGGGCAGTCTGGACTCTGGGCAGGTGACCCCTGTGCACCTTCTGCATCCTCCTTGCTCTGTTTTATTAGCTTTGATGTGCTCAAAACTGCTCTGCCAGCTGCTTTCCTGTGGTGCCTGATTCTGCTGATCTGTTTACCTGTGTGCCCTCTTTCTCTGAAGTCACAGGGTCTTGCCATTGCCTACCCATTTAACATCATTTTAGGTACTTTCCTGGTAGTTAGACAGCCTTTTCTTGTGGTCTCTATCTCCTCTGAAAGACAGAATTTATCCTGATGGAAGGAAGGGCAGGAACCCAACCTCTATTAGTCACATGAGTAGCTTTAGTGACTCTCTGGTAAGTGGTGAGCTGAGGTTTCTTTCTGACCACACAGAGGAGAGTGGCTGGAATTCCTGGGGTGTGGCAGAGGGTGTATCGATTACTGGGAAACTCTCTGATTGTGGAATAGAGTGACAGCCTCTGTCTTACACGTGTTCCTCTCACTGTCCCATGCATTTCAGAGCTGTCTGCATGGTTCCTGCATTCAGAGCAGAAATTCCCATGTGATTTCACATGGAAGTGGTGGCTGAGGATCATCAGAGTGTGCTCTTTAAAGCAAATGGTTTGTGTTGATCCAAACTTGTTACACAGGTGCCTCTTGTCCCAAGGCACTCTGTCAGCTGCACATCAGCTACATCTGGCACTTTAGGGGTTTAGCACAAAGGTGAGTTACAGCTTCAGAGAGGGGACAGCCTGTGAAGGTGAAGGGTTCCATATGAGGTGTGAGGTACTATCAGAGTCGGCCTTCGAGATGTTTTGACCTCTTGTTTCAGGTCAAGTCCTCACAACCCTTCTGCAGCATCTGACCTCTCCACTTATTCCACCGCCTCCCTGATCAGTAATGAAGAACAGTTTGAAGACTATGGGGAAGGAGATGATGTGGATTTTACTCCCAGTAGCCCATGCCCTGATGATGAGACCAGAACCAACGCCTACTCTGACCTTGGCTCATCTGTATCTTCCAGGTTGCTCCTTATTCATTAACAAACAAATTTTCATTTTTATTCTTCTCTGACCATAGCAGAGTTTACACTGGTTAGATAGACTCACCTTAAAAGCAAAATGTTACCAGTTCATTTCCTACCTCTGATTGACAGACTGCATTGAATAATAAGAGCTATAGCAAATGTGTTGTTTCTGGTAACCTGTGTTGGGTTCTGTTGAAATAACTGGCCTATTTTGCTTGTAGAGATTTCTTTCTACTACAGACAATAATTCCACAATTCAGGGCTAGTATTGGAAGGGATCTGCTGTAAAAGAAGCCAGCTTAGCATTATGTACCCACCCTGATGTAGAGAAGACTTAAAAGAGAGCCGTTTCTGTTTAGGGTTGTACTACAGATCCTTAGCACTAATCTGTGAGGGGAACTGCTGCAATGTATTCAAGGGGTTATTTGAAACAAGCATCCTGTTGACTTGGAGTGTCTTGGGAAACATAAGCAAGCAGCTGCTGTCTGTTAGGAGCTAGAAATGCCACAGCAGTGCACTTGCCTCCTGCATGTATCCTCAGCCTCTGCAGCTCTTACGTCCTGTGGCCAAGGCAGGTCTGGAATTTACAGTCCTTCCCCCAAGCAAGGGAATGGGTGAGCAGGGTTGGGAAGAGCTGAGCATGAAGATTCTTAGGATTAATCTGCTTGGATCAATAGCACACAGAGGTCTTGTCTTCATTGCTAACACAGGACAAGCTCACTGCATCTCTCTGTTCTGCATGCGACCCCCAGGTGCTCCCCTCTGTTTCCAGCATTTCTGCAATCCAGCCTGCCCACCTCTCCTGCATGCAGATCCAGACCCCTCTCCACTGCCTCTTCATGATGATGGCTCATGTCTTTCATCCCCTCTTTCCTCAGGTTTATGCAGCACTTTCATTCTCATTCCTGGGGCTTAGTGTGCATCATGCCATGATTGCTCTCTTTCTTTTGAGTTTTTTTTCTCTTGATCATGCCAAGAGGTACTGTTATCTCCTCTATAGACCTGTGTCCACTTCTCCCTTCCTCCTCATTCCAGGGTTCCTTTCATCCCACCATCTGAGGGGGTTCATGTGACTTCTTACCAGACCACTCAGTTTTTCATCTTCCTGCGTTTCTCTTGGAGAGAGGACTCTTCAGGTTGCATGCCAGGCTCCAGTGGGAAGATGGGCAAGATGAGAGGGGGACATTGCTGAGGCTGACTATACTCCTTTAGCTCCTTTGCTATGTGCATCACAGTGGACCCCATGTACCTCCTGCTGTTCTTCTGGTCACCCAAACTGATTCTTTCCAGTGCCACCAAGAAACATCCACGTCCTCTGGAAGGCCTCAGCTCAGACAGGTGGACTTGCCCTAAGAGTAGCACTGGCCATCACCAGCTCTAACGTAGATGAGCTGTGGTTAGAGATTGTTCAAGTCCCTCATCTGTGATTCTGACACACAGACACACAGTCACGAGGAAAACCTGTTGTGGTTTGGTTACTACAGCCAGTAACATCTCTCCTTTCCTGCAAACAGTGCTGGCCAAACCCCCCGAAAAATGAGACACGTTTATAACAGCGAGTTACTGGATGTTTACTGCTCACAGTGCTGCAAAAAGATAAATCTCCTCAACGATTTGGAAGCCAGGCTGAAAAACTTGAAAGCAAACAGGTAAGCAGCCTATTGCACTGCTTTTGGCAATGCCCCTTGACGTGGGACTGGCTAATAGCAGGAGGAGAGGGAGAGCGAGCCCATTCCCATTCCGTCTTACACATGTATTGTTCTTACAAAATAGTGAGAAATTTAGATTTGGATATGTAGCCCAAACCACAGTTCAGTCCTTCATCAGCTGTTAAATATTTTTCTGATTTAAGGTGCAGACATCATTACTAAACTCAAATATTTTAACCAATGAGCTCTTTGATTACAGAGTGAGAGTGATATTTCAAGGAATTTTTCTCAGGAAGTGGGATCTGCTGTGCTGCTTAGTGCAGATCTACAATTAGCTACTGCTTTCTCCAGGTGGGAAGGAGGGATCTCCAGATCCTTGGTTAATGCACATAACCTTACACACACCTCTCCTAAAGCTACTGGTCAGCAGAGGTACTTGGCTTCTGTGGGATCTTTTTGTAATGTCAAGGGAACTTGGAAAAATGATGAATCCTATGGTAGAAGTTACTTTTGGAGTTCTTTGCAATTTCAGCTTTTTCCTTACGTTTCTTTCTCTGCCACTCCATCACTCCTAAGCTGTGCTGAGCACTGAGTGCTTTTAACAATCACCTAGAGTTCTGAAGGGAATTATTTGGTGGGATTTTAGCTCCCCCTAGAAACTGGATGTGAGTCCTGCCTGCTGGCGTCATCCCTGGGATGGAGCACACTGCACTGCTGCTTCTCGTGATGCACAGCAGGGTAGAACTTGTCATGAAAAACGTTCCTGCCATAGCAAGGAGTCTGCCAACATCCAGCCCATGACCAGCCAGGGCTTTGGGAATTTTGAGGGAGGCTGGATATGCCTGACTGAGAGCTGTGTCTGTGCACACACAGATGTGACATCCTCTTACCAAGAGATGCAGCAGGGTATTTTGATCTGGTCCCAGTGCTGCTGTCTGCAGCAAGGGGTCTTCATTCAGATAGCCCCAGTCCCTGGCTGCACAAGGGAGCTGTAAAAATGGAAAAACCTCAGTTCCTGTGATGAACTGGGAAGCATTATGGGGAAGGATAAACTAACTATTCATAAAACCATCTGAAAAATGGAAATCCAGAATAAATGTCCATCACTAACTTGGTGTCCCTTTGTGGTATTTCTAATGTTAGTTTTCGCTCTGATTTACACTGACAGATCTCTGCTACATGTAACAATATTTGCAAATTGACTTACTAATGATCACAGTAATTTGTGACTTCATTCATCTTTGTGTTCTTAGTAATTTCAGCTTTTGATTCAGTTATTAAAGAATATTGTTCATAGAATCATCTTCTGACATGGCTAAAAAAGTCTATTATATTTCATTGTGCAATTAAAATTTAATCAAATAAGTGTTTAATTCCTATATCATTCTTTCTGTATCCATGTAGCCCTAACAGGAAAATATCAAGCACAGCTTTTGGAAGGTAAGAGTCTTCAGGTTTTCTATGAATATTTGTGGAGTCAGCCATAAGAATTCCATAAGTCGGAATAAGTAGGAGAACAAAAATGTACCAAGATAAGTTTTTAAGGGAAGGGGCCTGTGTTTAGGTATGAATGTTGCAGAATATAGAAGCCCCTGCTACTCTTGGAGCAGGCCCCTGAACTGGAAAGAGCTCTGTTAAAAATGTAGTTTTTTACTTCCTTGTCTACCAGATATATTTTCTTTGTACTGCTATTCCATCAGTCCAGCTACTGCTTCTTTAACCCTCATAATGTGAGCCTTGCTGCTGTTGCCAAAATGTGAAGGAAAGCAAGAGCACCCCTTTAAAAAGGACATAGAGAATTGTCATCTTCCTTTGACTGAGTGACCCAGCCCTGGGCTGGGGAGGGCTGTAAGGGTCCAGGACATTTTAGGTAATCTCCAGTGTTACATGTTCTGACACTGTTCTGCAGTGGGAACTGCTTGAGATTTCTTTTTTTCTGTTTTTTTTTTTTTTTTTTAAAGTTCTTACTATATGAAGTTTTCTAGCTTAATTGTACCAACCAATGTGCAGTGGAGACCTTATTTTAAATTTGTAATAATACAAATACAATTCAATGCATAGTGTGAATAAGACTTAAGTATTTTATAAACTGTGTTAATACTGGTGGCAGATCCTATCAAAAGCAACAAAGAACTCACTCCATCGAACTAATGTCATTGACTGTATTCAGTATGACTTCATTTAGCTTCCAGTCTCTTGTAAGACTCGGGCTTAAACAGTTCTAATTAACACTGAAATGATTGCACAGATTTTACCATCGGATGTTCAAAGTCTGAAGCCAGACTCCTTGTCCTGCCTCCTCATCAAGCTGAGTAATTATCCTTCTGATCTTTCAGACAACTCTTCCACAACAGTAACTTCAGCAGCAGTAATGGCAGCACAGAAGACTTGTTCAGAGACAGTATAGACTCCTGTGATAATGATATCACTGAAAAGGTGAGAATCTCTGTGCCCTGTGAGTAATGTACCCAACCAAACCCTTCTGGAGCCCTGCATAGGGAATGAAGGTCTTGCTCAGAATTAACCGTGATCTGAAGTAGCTTATTCAAAATGTCCTTGATGTTCCATTACTATTACAACTTTGCTTGGCAGTAATGCAAGAACTGAGCAAGCACAAATCAAGGCATTGTGTTAGGACTTCTTTATGGTGTATTTGCAGTGATCACCTTCAAGGAACATGGAGGGTCTGAGGAACTCAGAATTGTGGAGCTTAATTTTGCCGCTGGCTTTGCAGAGAAATATGCCCCCTTTCAAAGTAGTAGAGTAGCTAAATGCCTAATTATATTCCTAATAAGTAGTTAGGAACAGTGAAGGGGTGTTTGAAGAGAAATTCAAACTCAGTTTTTTCCACTTGTCCTTCCAGGTAACATACCTAGAGAAGAAGGTGACAGAACTGGAGAACGATAGCCTGACAAATGGTGACGTGAAGAGCAAACTGAAACAAGAGAACACACAGCTGGTTCACAGGTAACAAAGCACAGAGCCAGCTCTCTTCAACATGTCAGAGCACAGCTAGGGCACAGCTGTGGGGAAGGAATATTTCTACCTGTAGGGTATGACCAAGTCTTTTTCCTTAATACTGAAAGATGAAACAAGGCTTCATCTGAGAAGTCCATGTGGAATAGAGCTGCCTTGCTGAATTTTCAGCAAGAAGAGGCCTCCAGACAAGTGTTTCTGACAGATGTTACTGACTTCTACAGAGAAAACTCTTCTCCTGTGAGAGAGGTTGCCCTGGGAGGCTGGAGTTTTTTTTTTTCCATGCATGTAGCAAGAGCAGAAAGCTGGGTTTTAGTCCCAGCTTACGAGACTGAAAGAATAATAGATAAACTGATACTACTTAATTCTGTATTTATTAGTAAATATGAGAAATACTGGGAGAGGTTAAATGCCAAGAGAAATGGCAAATTAAAATGAAACAAAGGTGTAGGCAGGAAAGAGGCAATGAATTTGCTTCTGAAGCTGTTTACTGAAATGAGATCTGATTTCCTTAGAGTTCATGAGCTAGAGGAACTGTTGAAAGACCAAGAAACATCAGCAGAACAGACTCTGGAAGAAGAGATAAAGAGACATAGAGAAGCTTACAGCAAGTATGAAAAAGAGAAAGGCACTGAAATTGAACTGCTCAATACAAGGTAACAAACATCTTGGTGCCACCCTGAACAGGACAGAAGATCTTTTTGCTTTTACTTTGCTTGTAAATGGAGGCTGTTCCCTAGCAGACAGTGCACAGATGGTGGCAGGTTGGCAGCTCTGTAGAGTAGCTCTGCAGTCACATGCCTAATGCCCAAAAGCTTGGAGGATGCTTTACATTAATGCTTTAATCCACGTGGCCCATGTAGACAGCTTAGCTGGATATTTGGCATGGATTCAAGGAGGGAATCGTGACCAGTTCTAGCAAACATTTGTTGCCTGTGTTTGTTTTTTCCACTTTTTTTTTTTTTTCAGCTGCCTCTTGTTAGGAGCACAAGTATCTGAGGGTCAGTGTAGCATTTTGGGCCCTAAAAACAAACAAGCAAAACCTTATGTTAAAAAGTGCTATGATTAGAAAGATTTTCCCTATTTGATCTTTCTGTCAAGTGCAAGTGAGATACCTTTTTAGAGCACGCTGTTTTGCATGTCTGCATTCTTGAAGAGGTATTTGCTGTAAGATTTTTATTATTAACACAGGGTTCAGCAACTGGAAGAAGAAAATGGTGATCTGAAAAGCACGGTCACACGGCTGAAATCCCAAACAGAGAGATTGGATGAGGTAACAAAACTCCTGAGTCCTTGAGCAATTTAACAGCAATTTATCTAAGAGCAAACTCTTACAGTGCTTGGCCCAGCTCCTGAAATTTTCCTTCCCTATACAAGATTATCACTGGAATTGGAACATTGGTCACCTTTAGAGGCAGGAATGTCCTGAGACACAAGCCAGTTTATGGCCAGCTGTGCCTGTAGGCTCACGTTGAGAAGCTGAGGGTGTGTCCTGCTCTTGCCAGCCTGGTCTGAAGTTCCCCGTTCGTTCCAGGAGAGGCAGCGCATGTCAGACAGGCTGGAAGACACGAGTCTGAGACTGAAGGATGAGATGGATTTGTACAAGAGGATGATGGACAAGCTGCGGCAGAACAGGCTGGAATTCAACAAGGAGAGGGAAGCCACACAAGAGGTGAGTGTGGAGGGGGGATGTAAGACCAGGCAGTCATATACCACCTGCATGGAAACCCTCTGGGAAAGAATGGGCAAACAGGATGGACACTGAAAACACCACATCCAGTGAAGCTACTGCTGGGTTGTGTTTCTGTGGGAAGGGCACCCACAGAGCAATGAATGCTGCAGGAATACTTAGTGAGTGCCAATCCCTGACCCAAAGGATTTACAGCTCTTTGAGAGCTCTGTGCCCTAAGGTTTCCTATACTCTGTTTGCAAGGGAAGTTATGCTTCTTGTGCATGAAGCTTAGCAGTCACAGCCTTTGCCAGCTCTGGGGCAGTTTAGGGGACCTGTGCTTGCAAAGGAGGAAGAGGTTGTGTTGTAGGACTCAGCCACGCTCAGGGAGTTTTTCCTGAGCACAGAGGGGGCTGTCTGCAGGGAGGGCTGCACAGACAGGACCTGTTTGCTGCCCACAGCTCATCGAAGACCTGCGGAAGGAGCTGGAGCACCTGCAGCTGTACAAGCTGGAATGTGAACGTCCTGGACGTGGGAGAAGCTCTTCCTCCAGCCTGAGTGAATTCAATGCCAAAACCAGAGAGGTGGAAATGGAGCATGAAATAAAACGGCTGAAGCAGGTGAGCAGGGAGGGGCCTCTCAATCCATATCACATGTTCAGGAATACCTTGAAAAACGCAATCCCAAGCACTCTGCCTTCAGATTTTGTCCCTCCCTTCTCACACAAGCACAAGAGCCTCGTTGCATGTGTGCAGGACTTCTTTGCACTGATAATGTAAATTATGCCCCAGGAAAACTCAGTCTTGTTGCTGGAGGTAAGAGTTGCTGCCAGCTGCAGCCTTGCTGTATGTCATCCAAGCTACCTGTGATGTTAATTTTTTTTTTAATGAAACCATGTAGGAAGAACTCAAAAAGCAATGTCTTTTCATCCTTTAATAGGAGAATCAGAAACTTCGTGACCAAAATGATGATCTTAATGGACAGATTCTAAGCCTCAGTCTTTATGAAGCTAAAAACCTCTTTGCAACGCAAACAAAAGCCCAGTCACTGGCTGCTGAAATCGATTCTGCATCGAGAGATGAGGTAATGTGCTTTTCTAATCAGGTACTACATCCAAGAATATGCAATTTTCAATGTAATTAACTGTCAAGGTTGTACTATCTGAAGATGACAAATGAACAACAGAAAATTCTGCTTTGCTAGGAGTTCAAGGATGTTAGAAGATTGCCTTAAATCTAACATTGTTTTGGTATCCTTATAACTCTCCCATTTTTTTCCAAAAAAATTGGAATTACTAGAATCTCAGTGAACTGTTTCACAGTTCTAACATCTTGTATCTTGCAGAGTAATGTGAGAGTAGGACATTAATTTCATACAAAAATGGCCGTTGCTAGTAACTTTAATTTTTACTTTCTGTTCTAGGTTTAGTTCTAAGTTACTTCAGTAACAAGCTCTCACTTAGACATATATTTGAGCTATATATTACCTGTAGCAGAGCTGAATTCTTGGAGAAAGTAACTTGTGTGCAAATAATAACTTGGTAATGCTCTGAAAGATATTCTGGGAGACCCATTTGTATGTGAGCTGAGCTGGTGTAGCTTCCTCTGAGCTCCAGGACAGATTGTGAGATCAGGGCAGTGGATACATGAGAGATACCAGAGAAGAAGACAGGTTAATGGTGAAGGAGATCAAAAGAATTGTTTGTCCTTGATGCTCTATCTCTTACAGACAGAACTTCCCATTTCTTCATCAAAAAAAGTTGTGAGACAGAAAAGTCCTTTTTACCCAGTCTGTACTGGACTGACCTGTCAGCCTTAGCTCCTGGGCAGGCCCTTGAAGTGAAGGCCCTTGATTATATTCTTGAGAACTTAATTTCTTGCTGAACCAGAGCACTGTGAAGAAAGGCTGTTTACTTGTTGATCCCTAATTAGGTAAAAGCAAACTGGCTTTTGGTATTGTCAAGAAAAATCTGACTTTGTCCCTCTCAATCTCATGGCTCTGGCTCATGCAAGGAATATCCAGCACTCTCCTTTAAAGGAGGAAAGTGCCTGAAAGCTGTGGCCCAGACTCAGCAAAACCTCACAAACCTGCACAAACCATTCCCATTGTGCCATTTTTCCTGTATGATCAGAACAAAGGTAAGAATCTGCAGATTCAGAGTGGGACTTTTGTGAAGTCTTATGAAAATGGACAGGCAAATAACATGAGCTTTAGGAGGATCTGGGGCTCTGACATGCCTTGGCAGTTTTGTGAGTTTGGCACTAAACATTCAGAGATAAAAAACAAAGCAGTCTTTATTTTTGAGGAGGTCGAAGGGCTTTTTACAGCCCAAAAATCTGGTGAAACACATGTATTTAATACAGAACATTGAATAGCAAGTGGGTTATTCTTGTAGAGTATGTAGTGGTTGCTTAGGGTTTTTTTTTTTTTTTTTTGAGAGAGAGTATGCTCATGATCCAGAGGAAGCACATATTTTTGCTGGCCCAAAACACTGAAATACTTTTTCTGTTCAGCAGCCTTTCATGCAAACACCTTTAGATTTCAGTAGTTATGAAAAAAAATCAAATATGAAGCTCTTGTTCTGAGATGAAGCAATTGATCCATGGTATGGAAGCAGAATAGATTGGCATATTAGATGGGGACCTTGTTTCAAATGACCTGCCAGAAGATCCTTGCAGATGATTGTTCACCACCTTCTTTGGTAGCAGAGATCTGTAATATACAGAATTGTTTCTAATACAGATACAGGGAGGAGGTTGATTTAGAAAACCTGTCCCAAAAGGAATTGGTGATCCTGAGGAGTCACTGGTCTCTCACCTGTCTCAATTTTAGGCTGTTACATAAAATACTGAGAATATTTCAGGAATAACTTGGAAATGTTGTGTTTTAGCTCATGGAAGCCCTCAAAGAACAGGAAGAGATAAATTACAGATTGCGACAGTATATGGACAAGATCATTTTGGCAATCCTGGACCACAATCCATCTATCTTGGAAATAAAGAATTGAAGAGAATATGAGAAGGAAAAGCAGCAACTGCCTGATATTTCTGCACATGCCACTGGATCTAAGCAGCACTCTGATACTGTAAATGAATCTATAAATACATATACACACTAGGTGTGAGTGTGGGTGCGCGGGTGTTTCTATGATGTTTGGTACACTGTTATTTGTCATTGAATTGGCTTGGTTAGACTTTTTCCATGCACTTTCAATACCTGTGATGAGATGGATACTGTATATTAATGTAATAACAATATAACTGGATCATGTTGTTTTAGATACTGGACAAAATGACTCTACCTCTAGTTGTAAAGGTAAAAAAAAGACAGTGGAAACATATGGATGTGGCCCTGTCTTACGGAGCAAGAATTTTTTTCTTCGTTCTTCCAGGAATTTGGGTACCACAAACAAATTGACATACCCAGGTTCAGTTCCTGACTGGTGCTGACTGTGTAATTTCCTATTTGATTTAAAAAAAACAAACCACAACAAAAAACAAACTTTGGGAAAAGACACAAAGTAAATGGGAAGAAAAGGAAGATACTGCAAAACTTTTGCTATTTATGAAAAGTCACCATCCACTTGTTTGCCACTGTCAGCACAAAGTGTTTTTGATGTAAGATCACTTTGGGGCCTGCTTTGGGATGCTCTGAGCCTGCTCTCTAGTATGTGTGCATGTGTGTTTTTATGCCAGATCCCTGTAGCATTGAGGCAAAGAGCTTTTCAAATCTGTTCCCCTATTTTCAGGGGTATATCTTGGGCCATTAAGATAAATTTTGGGATTCTGCCCCTTCCCCTCACCCTGATTTTAAAGAGTTAACTGAAGGAACACATTCCAGTTCTTACAAGAAATTTGCATGAAATATCTCACTTCAGGGGGAGGAGGAGGATCAGCCCTCAGCATGATGTGCTGAGTTGCTTTCCCACCCCAGACAGCTGCACTCCTTTGAGAATGGCATTTTTTGGGCAGGCTGTGCAGAGGAACAGCTGGTTCCTGGCACAGCAGTGGAGGACAGTCTGATACAGAGTGGCTTTTACCTATAGGGCAGGAAAAAGAAAAAGAGCTTCATCTTGCAGGAGTTGCCAGTCCAGACTGAGCACACACATGCATATCTAAAGCTCTGAGTAGGGAACACATCCCAATTCGGATGAGCAGTTGTGCAGGTGCTGCATCTGCTCGTGGGCATCAGTGGGATGGAACATTAAGCTTTAAAGTTGAGCGTATGCTTAAATGCTGCCTTAAATAGGGATGACTTCAACATGTGCCTGTGTTCTCCAGAGCTGGATCTATACTGTAGGGCTAGGATGTTTTTAATTCATAATGTAGCTTATATAAAGAGCTTACGGAATTGTTTGGGTAGTTGAATGCTAAAAACAAATTTTATTCCATGCACTTTTTTAAAAGTAAAAGTTTCACACTTTTGATTCACACCAACTGGCACGGAAAAATCAGCTGGAGTATCTGGCTTTCCCCAGTGCATAGAGATGTTTCCTCTATTGAGTACACTCCCCAGAAGAATGTTACAGTAGCAATGACTGTGCTTTTCTGTGTATTTCTTGCTGTTGGCAGTGTCTTGCCCCTAGTATTCTCTTGATGTATCTTGGTGTGTATATGTGGTGCATTTTTTCTGAATTTGAATACATAAAACTGTATTCAGTTATGGATGTAAATATATATATATATTTTTCTGCAATCTCTGTGCTCTTGCCTTCAGTGATGTGTTACTGGAGTGATGGGAAGCAGGGGACGTACTGAAATCTGACTTTCTTGAAGGCAAGAAAATACAAAACAGTTTGTTTCTATGTATCTGCATAGGCAGGTGTAAAGTAAGTGGAAAGAGAGAGGGACCAGGGGAATGACTGAGGGACACAACACCCCAGTGCACAAAGTGCTCTGGGAGAAATGGGACAGTCTGGTTCAAACTGTGATGTCACAGGGCTGGGCTCCTGAGGCTCCGGGGTAATGTGGAGGAAAGGATTTCAAGACCACTCCTTTGCCACCTGGGAATGGTGTAAGATGTAACTCTGCAGCAGCTTTTGTTTGTGTAGAAGTAGTGGAACCCTATGGAAACCCCATATATCCACCTTTCCCACCTGCTGCTGTTTCTGGATGTGCCACCCAGAAGGTGGGAGAGAAACAGTTCAGCCAGCTTGGTGCTTCCTGCCTGCAGGACTCCTCACTTGCACTTTGGTGATGGCATTTCCCTCTGCCTGTATCTGTCTGTGGGTATTGCCAGGGACTTCACTGTTTTTGTATGCCACAGAGAACTCTTCACACTGTCAGGGGGATGTTGCAAACCTGCTGTGGCCCAGCAGCTCTGCTTCTGGAGCTGGCTGTGTTTGGGAAGTTGCACTGCTGTCCTGCTCTCAGGCAGTGGATTTCAGTAAGAGTGAAGCTGTTGCAGCTTAGGCTGGTGACTGAATGTTTTCCCCTAATTATTTTTAAGTAAACTGGACTCGGCTTCAAAATTTCAATGAACTGGAGCCCATTCCCATTAGGGTGGAGCATCAGCAAATGTTGAGGACTGTTTCACTGAAAGCAAAGCCCGTGGACTTGAACAGAAGACATGACTATAGTGATAGCCAAGTTTTTGTGCAGATAATTATATGTAGGAGGTGAATAGTCATTAGGAGTGACAAATAGTCACTGAATCTGGCTGATATCCCAAAAGGAATATTTAACCAAGGGTATCCAGCAGTGGAAATTTCTTAAAACTTGCAGGATGTCTTGTTTAGCTTTGTACCCAGCTGTGTATTTAGAAGCTCTTCCTTGCTCCAGTGTTTGCATTTGAAGAGATGTCTTACCATCATGTTGGTGGTGTTTGTAGCTGTGTTTTATTGTGTAAAGGAGGTATCCTCCTGTTTCTGTGGGGCCCTTGGTGTGGTACTGCCATCTGTTACTGTGGAAATCATATCCAGATACTTGCTATGTTTATAAATAAATAATGGGAGTTGGAGGTGGGAAAGGCATTTCACTGGCAGATACATTTTCCTCTAAGGTATCCACTTCTAAAAATACTAATTAGCAATTGCATTGTCAGACTGAGTAACTACAGATATTAGACCAACTCATCTTGCAACTCAAGCCCTGGAGAACCTTTTTATTCCAGAAAAGAAGTCATCGTGTTTTATGACATGCAGGTAATTTGGTAATAAAGGATCACTTGATGGCTCACTGGGGCAGGGAGAAGAGTAATCTGATATCAGTGTTGCAGAGAGTGCACATTTTGATCTAGTGTCAGACAGACACAGGGAGACACTGATTTTGCTGTCTGTTCTCTGATAAATTTCTTACTTCTTTGCTGTGGACATCGTTTGTGTTCTCAGGCTGGCCAGGAAAGGACAGCCTGCCTCTGTCAGTGTTACTGTTGGTGGAACAAGGGTCTCCCTTCCCTGGGCAAATCACTTCAGACACAGAAATGTGGTATCATCTCCTAGCAATATCAAATGCAGTAAACACTCCTGTGTCAAACCCTTGGTTCTTTTTAACCCTTGGGGATGCAAACACAATCCCAGGTCCTGTATCTTCATCTGTTCCTTGGTTCATTTGACCTTAGATTCTGAAAAGCTAAATTATATTCTGGTCAAACCTGTTGGAAACCACTACAGGTATTTCTGGACAGTGAAAAAAAAAAAAAGACTGGTTTTTGGCTAGAAGCTGCCCTTGGTCAGGCTAGTCCCACACAAGGTACTGCAGAAAAATTACCTCTTTGAAAACTTGCACTTAAAGAATACCTGAAATGTAGTCTATCAAGATTTTTCTGGTGTTGGCTGGTTCCCTCCGGACTTCAGTCATCAGATGCTGCCTCGTTCTGATTTCAGAATGATGCTGATTCAAAACTGCTTTGACATCAAAAGAAGATTTTTCAGCTTTTTGAATAACTTCTATTTAAGACTGAAGCTATTAAAGAATTTGTCTTGTAGTGCAACACTGTTGAACTGTAACCATCCCATCTATTTTTACAGAATTTTTAATATGCAAATACGTAGCAAGTTTCAAAAAAAACCCAGCATCCAATGCAGTTTTGTTGCCAACTTTCCTTTCATGGTCTTTGGGAAAAATTCAGATATTTCTCAGCCAGCTCTGTAGGGAGTTGAACACAGCATTATTAATTCTCAAAGATGTGTATCAACAAATATTTTGCTGTCTGAGTGCAGCAATGCTCCATTTACTTTGGTAGAACTGCATTGCTCTCCAGAGAGGATCTAGACCAACAGTGTTTAGGCTCCCTAATCTGGTTTGTAAATGAGGGCTTGGAAGCTGATCTATAAACACACATTGTGGGCTGCTACACGAGGCACTGCTCAGTGGTCTGTGCATCACAGTGCCTGTGACATGTGATGAGTCTAAGAACTAGAATTAACAAATAAAAGAATGCTTTTTCTTTACATTCTTTAATGGCAGTGGATACGCAGTGGTTTTTTTCTTAAAACAAATACTGTATGGTGTGGTCTGAGGGATTTTTTTCCAAGGAAGGAAGGAAGTAGCAGCTGATCAAACACTTGCCAAATCAGTGGCTTAGCTTATACTGATTTAAGAGAAGACTTGACTCAGGTTTTAACTGAACAGTTTCTGGTGTAAGTAGCAATGCTTGTATTCTTGTCATTTGTTACTCAAGAAACATTGTCAAGAAATCATGACAGGTGATATAACACAGCTTGTTGGTTTTAAAGGATGTAGTTCCACAGTTCTGACATTTTGTTCCTTTGCATCTCAGTATTTTTGAATTCAAAATACTGATCCTAGGAGCAGTTTGCTGTTAAATCATGCATGGGTTTCTAGTTAATGAAATTCTGCATGTACCTTTAGAGTTTGATGAGGGTTACAGTCAGTGTTGGGTCTGAATTCTGTCATTCTGCATAATGCACTGGGAGTTGCTCTGATGTGCAAGAGAGCTTTTTCTTTCTGGGACTCTTCCTCAGTGTTCTGTTGATATTTACACTCTTGGTCTTGTCCCGAGCCACTGTCAGGTGTCTGTGTGCTTTGGGGCAGCACTTTGAGCAGATGGGAGGGACAAATTCAATATTCTTGGCTTCAGTGTGACTTTAGCTACCAAGGCAAGAATTTCAGTCCTGTCTTTATACCAGGCCAGTCCTGTCCTTGCCTTTTTTGTGGTCGTGAAAACTGGTTGTGTCCCATGTACCTGACAAAACATTGTAGCTGATTCTTATGGTATACCAGCAGGTAGGGTGAGTGAACCTGAAGGTGATGGAGGTGAGGAATCCCTGGGATGTGCCTCAGTTGTGTCCAGGTGTCCCTCTGCACGCTGTGCTGACACTCTGGGAGGATCAGCATGGCCAGCACATCAGAGAGGTCACAGCAGCAGCCCGTGAGGATCTGCAGGCAGAATCTGCAGGCAGGGCCACGCTACCAGAGTTTGCCACAGTGTGGAGCCAGCTGACAGAGCTCCTGCTGCTCTCTGCACCCTGGATTTCAGCTTGCTGCCTTCAGCCTGGGCCTTTTGTTCCACTGCGAGAGTAATACCTGGTCAAACATACTGTTACTTAAACTTCAGACCTACAGAAAACATTACCAACCACGGGCTTCTGCCGTGTCACTGGACACCTGGGCCTGCAGTGGAGGTGCTGTGAGCAGAGCAGCTGTGACACCAGGGCTGTCAGCTTTGCTGTCACTGCTCTGGGCACAGTGACACCCTCAGAGCTGCTGTGCCCCAGGGAGGGGTGGCAGGTGGCTGCTCTGGGGAACACATCTGTGCAGATGGTAAGGGGGGCTGCAGACACTCCTCCTCCCAGTGATGATCTTACACCCCCCAGCATCAGCCCTGTTTTATTTACTACCTTATCCATAGAGAAATTATTCTGGCTTTGGAGAAAGGACATCAGAAGGAGAACCAAGAATTTAGTATCCTGTGAACACTTCAGTACACTACAGGGCAGTAAATGTTGCACTGATATATATTTAAATACTGAGACATTTTGAGAATTACTGTAAAATCAGTTGTGAGAGCCATTTGTTTTTCTCTGTTACACAGACTAGTCACTTTCTTTGCATGGTTACATATTTTAGTACTTGTGCCTTTTATTTCTCTGTTGTGAGGATACATTTTATTTTCACATTTTATCATCTGGTTTTGGACACTTTTTATATACTTCTTTAATCATCTGGTTTATTGTAATGTACATGTGTATATATAAAATAGATTTGTATTCATGTGCCTCTGAGATGTAAAAAATGCTCATTTTGTACAGGTTTTTTTAGAAGCACTAGGTCATGGTCTAAATTACGTAGCAAATGAAATTTAACATAATTAGCAGTTCTTTGTCTTTTAGGAATGTTGTGTCAGATGGTTGGTCTCTTGTAAGGCAATGTCACACACGCTGCAGATTTATTGTTTTAGTATCATTATGAGACCAATTCTATCCACTTGTTGGCTTCAGTTAATTCAAAATAATAAAACACTTAATTAAATGTTACAGTCCTGACTTGGCGATTATAGTTTTTATTTCCATTAAAGCCAATTTGCTTCCTTTTATACTTGAAATGGGCACCAGACCAAAACCTCATTTGAACACGTTGCCCATTTCAGGTTAACTTCCATTCTGGGATTATTTTTGTGGGATCAAGCAAGTGATTTACTTTACCCATTGAAATGGAAAGCAAAATAGCATTACCAATTCATAGACTCTCCATCTTAGAGTGCCTAAAATGCTTTAGTTACTCCTTCTCTCCCTG